CTACAGTATCCGTCTAATCCTATACAGCGAGTCTACAGTCGACTACAGTATCCGTCTAATCCTATACAGCGAGTCTCCAGTCGACTACAGTATCCGTCTAATCCTATACAACGAGTCTACAGTCGACTACAGTATCCGTCTAATCCTATACAGCGGGTCTACAGTCGACTACAGTATCCGTCTAATCCTATACAGCGAGTCTACAGTCGACTACAGTATCCTTCTAATCCTATACAGCGCGTCTACAGTCGACTACAGTATCCGTCTAATCCTATACAGCGAGTCTACAGTCGACTACAGCATCCGTCTAATCCTATACAGCGAGTCTACAGTCGACTACAGTATCCGTCTAATCCTATACAGCGAGTCTACAGTCGACTACAGTATCCGTCTAATCCTATACAGCGGGTCTACAGTCGACTACAGTATCCGTCTAATCCTATACAGCGGGTCTACAGTCGACTACAGCATCCGTCTAATCCTATACAGCGAGTCTACAGTCGACTACAGTATCCGTCTAATCCTATACAGCGAGTCTACAGTCGACTACAGCATCCGTCTAATCCTATACAGCGGGTCTACAGTCGACTACAGCATCCATCTAATCCTATAAAGCGGGTCTACAGTCGACTACAGCATCCGTCTAATCCTATACAGCGAGTCTACAGTCGACTACAGCATCCGTTGGTCTAATTTTGAACATTATTATCATGTTAAACAACGCATTCTCACCCCAAGGCGTCACCTTTGACCATGCTTCAATATTTGACGTTTTAGGCGCCCTTTAGCGTCACTTACATGACGCGATCCTACGGCGTCATCTAACTGACGCTAAAGGAAAGCGTCAGTTAGAGGACGCGGTTAGGTTTAGGTGTGGGGTGGGGGTAGGGTACACGCGATCCTAGGGCGTCATCTAACTGACGCTAAAGGGCGCCTAAAGCGTCAGATATTGAAGCATGTCCAAATGCTTCCCAAGGCGTCAGTTAAGTGACGCCTTGGGAGTGAGAATGGGCTGTGTTAAATCATGTTAAATTTTAATGTCAATATCTGAAAGCTACCCATTTTATAATCATTATTTCTATACTTTAGTAAGATTACTTTTAAATTTTATTCGCAAGGGTTTTCCAGTTTCAACGTAACCTGAACATGTCACATAAAACGGGACACTTTTTAACCCTGTTCTGATGAATTACTATTTTGTGTTATCATGGCCTAAACCCATACAACAGTTAATGATATTTCTACGGTAAATATACTTAATGCTAGCACAGACATTAGGTTACATAGACTTTCTAACCATTGTAAAAGTTGTTTTACAATGGAAATGTGTACCTTGAAATGCAATGTAAGTCACTTTGGATAAAAGCATCTGCCAAATGCATACATGTAAATGTAAATGTTTTACATAATTTTACATTCTAGTCTATAAGCTTAAAATCACTGCCACATTTTATAAGACAAAACAAAACGAATGAATAGCAGAGCTAAACGGTGTTGAAAGAGCTTAGTAACATTAAAATCACACTGGATATTGTTTTAAAGGTTACTGCATCACAAAAACCTCAAAGGCCGAGAGTAAAAAGGGTTATCCGTGCATCTACCAAAACCTGTCCATTTTTGCATAGCTCACATAATAATATGTTTTTATTGAGCAAATTTTTAGGCTTCCAAGTCAGTTGTATAGCAAGTCTAGACAGGTTTGTGAATAGAGAGGATATAAATTGTGTCACATTAAATGGATATATGACGAAGAGCTTCAGACCAACTACAATCAGAGATCACGGTGAAACTCAAACCGGTTTGAAAATTGAACGGGTCCCTCCTTGCCACGGCACAGAGAAACACAATACAAATTCCCACACCTTTTATTCTGGTATTGATAATGTCATAGCATGATGACATTATGGAAAATCATAGAGCAGAATGGCTGCCAGTGACCACAAAAGGACGTGAGGAAGGTCAGGGAAACTGGTTTTTCATATATTTCCCCCTCATTTTACTTGTAAATGCCCTCCAGGTTCTCCAGGATGTAAAACATTCAGCATAAAGCATTAGACACAGCTGTAAAAGCAAGTGCTATGAAGAAATTACTTTTAAAGTATTAATAAGATCTACTGTCATTTACAATTAAAGCCGCAGTGCCTGTAGACGCGTAAACTAACACTAAATGAGAAACTTTACATTTATAGACAACTTTGTTGATGTGTAATGCTCATTTACAAGCAAAAAAGTACAAAACATGAACGTAAACTAACACTAAATGAGAAACTTTACATTTATAGACAACTTTGTTGATGTGTAATGCTCATTTACAAGCAAAAAAGTACAAAACATGAAACTATTCTAACAAAAAAGTCATCAGGAAGAGCTCAGAAATGGATTACCACATAAAACAAATGAAGCAGAAGTGTAGAAAACGGTGTACTTGCCCGAAGCCTGGTCTTCAGAGGGTGTGCGTGTGTGTGTGTGTGTGTGTGAGATGCTCTGATGTTCACGGGAGGTGGATGAAAACAAAAAAGCCATCATGACCATGTGAGCACGTCACACAACCCTTCCTTCAGCATCACCAGGGCGGGCAATAGCAGAAAAACAGGTGCATTTCTGTTTCAGGGAAGTAGAGACACTGACAGTCATTAGACAAACCAGTTAACAATGATGACATTTAGAAAGCTTGATATTATGATCATATGAAACGCTCTTTGTAAAAGGTATTATTTGCATAGAAACCCCTAACACATCCTGGAACAAAACCGGTTTGCAGGCACTGGGAGGAATAAAGGTTTGCTACACCGTGTTAACACACTGCAACATGACGACGACTCCATAAACACAGATCGAGTCGGCTCCAGTAACAAAACGCATTATCTCAAGCACACGTGACGTCCGAGACCGGGATCAGGTCCTCAACCTCTATTATGAGTTTTAGCATTTATGCACACAAACACAATCCCTATTGTATTCCAGTAAATGAAGGCAAGCTATTTGAAAAGCAAACATGATTTGAGAGGTTAGTTTGTGTTTGAATGCATACATGGACTTCATGGTTGGTCTTGGTCAATACGCAAGAGCTGATTTGCCTGTTTTGTAGGCTATTTAGCAACACAAATTCCCTGTGATGGCAATAAAGCAGCAAATTTAGCAGCTTATGTAGTTCTGTCCTCGATTGCCCAACATACAATTCATTTAGCATAAAAACAAGGTTTTAAACATGACCAAAAGCAATATTTAAGGACAACAGAACCAAAAGACAACACAATGCTGAATAAAGTCGTAGTATTTGTTATTTTTGGACCTAAATGTATTTCCGATACTTCAAAACATTGTAACTAACCCACTGATGTCACATGGACTACTTTGATGATGTCTTATGTCCTTTCTGGACAAGGACAGTACCGTACATTTTCAATGGAGGGACAGAAAGCTAAGACCAAATCTAAAATAGAAGAGTACGGGCTTGGGACGACATGAGGGAGGGTCATTAATTACACCATTTTCATTATTGGGTGAACTATCCCTTTAACCATGTCCAGCATTTTGGTAAATACTTATGTATTCAGCAGTGTCTTTGCTGATGATATTCGACTAAAATGGCTAAATAACTTGATAAACTTTGTTCTTCTGTGACCCAGAACAGCCGAAAGGTTTGAGATGTGTCCTCTGTACGGACATGAGTTTATTCATTTCACTTCTTGTGTGAAATGGCCTGTACATTTGCCAAAAATACAACTTTTACGGGATCTTTTGTTATAAATCTTCTGGTACTGTTTGCGTGTCAGTCAAAACTGATTGATCTTGTTTTATTTAAATGATTGTGCCATTAAATATTCCGATTGTTTATTTAGTACTTTTATAGTATTTATATTTTATGGTTCTTATGCTGCGTTCCAGGCAGGTTTTTGAGCACGTAAATCACGACTTCAAACCACGACTTACGACTTTCCAGGTCATTCACGCCAAACTATCTTGATGTAAATAAACCAAAATGGCGGACTTTACGGGGCTCACGCGCATTTGTAATAATTTCTAACGCCAAAGGTGCTTACTCCTTGTTTATTTGTGGAAAACTGAAGAAGAAAAATAGCGCTTGAGGCAAGATAAGCTGTTATACCTTTTATTTTACTTTATTTGTATATTTTGGAAATGTATTTGGTATTAATTTATCCTTGCACTCAATGGACTGAAAACTGGTTAACGTTATATTGTCCTAAAGTGTATTCTCACCGAGTACCGCCTGCAGAAACACTGTTCGCGGGCTATGTGACGTCAGAACTCGTAACTGGGAGTACATCGGTCTAGTACGAGTTCACGGGTGGGAAGTCACGGGTTTGACTGCCGTTCCAGTGCACTTTCACGGGTATAAGGTTGGAAAAACACGAGTTACAGGTTGCCTGGAACGGAACGGGGCATTAGCTCACAAACTAATGTAGTTAGTGTTACCAACACTAAAACATCCATGCATATCAACATTTGCTATCACAGTTGTTTCTGCTCTTTTTATTTGGATTTTTAGTTTAGTTTTTTTGCAAGAAAAAATAAATGTAAATTATTAAATGATTTAAACCGGTTCACAAAACGGCAGTTCATATTATATTTAGTCTAACGATGATTTACTTTTTACAGATCACTTCCTGAGGGGGAAACAAATATATATTGCTTTAAGTGTTTCACAGGTATTGTTTTTGGAAAGAGCCCATAAACCAGACTGCAGAGAAAAGACAAGAAAACAGGTGTCATTCCAGAAATAATTTATTTCACTTCCATTTTAATCTTTTTTGTTTTTCAACGATGTGGAAAGTACAACCAAAAAAAAAAAAAGAAAAAAGAAAAAAAGAAAACAGAAACTGAGATGACAGCAATAAAGTGAAGGAACGGTCCCTTCCTCTTTACCACGACTAACGTCTGATCGGCTTCTCTGCCACCCCGACAGAGACAGAAGAGGCCCACACTTCATTCGCCCAAACTGGAGTGCGTTACATTACAATGCTCTGTGTGTGTGTGTGTGTGTGTGTGTGTTAAAGCATCAATCTCGGTGTTGCAGGCTTCATCTTCTCAGAGAGCCTTCTAGACCATAAAGACCAAACATAGACACCAGACCGGAAGATGTCAAGTGTGTGTGTGTGTGTGGGCTAAAGCATCAGTCTCAGTGTTCCAGGCTTCATCTTCTCAGAGAGCCTTCTAGACCATAGACCAAACATATCGCACCAGACCGGAAGCTGTCGAGTGCGTGTGTTTATTTCCACACTCACACTGCCTTCCTTCCACCAGAAGCTACGCTGCGGACACAGATGTTGAAAACCTAGAAATGAATCAACACTGTGACCACGTCAGCTGGTTGGTTTACGTCTCTCTCTAGTTCTGTGTTTGGACACGTGTGCCACTTTCCCTCCGTTTCAACCACAGAGACCGAATCCATTGGGGATCTCTTGGATCGTGTAACGCTCCTCTTAATATATATGCTCATAACGTACAATCGGACACACTCGTACACACAAACACACATTAAACGGCTTTCAAATAACACCTTGACCTTGGACGAAAACATCCTAATTTCATGTTTGGCATTAATCTTTCGCACTTCTCTTTAGTCTGCATAATCGTTTCCTCACACAAAATAAAACACCAAACAAACAGGAACCATCTACTTCATCTCATGGACAACGCAAATATTAAGGAAAAACAGAAAATACTCA